TTAAAATTAGTTTTATTAAATTTTAGGTATTAATTTTGAGTAATTTATTTGTTGAAATTTAATTTATTGTAAATATTTTTGCACAAGCAAAAATTTACATTAACATTACAGTTACTGATTAATCAAATATTTTTTTATTTTTTAAATATTTGTATTATAGCATAATATTTAAAATTTATAAAGAAGCAAATGTACTTGCTTATTAAAATTAATTCTACCTAGAGTTAAAATAACTCTCTTCAAATCCACTGTGCACAAATCACACTGTGCTCAAAGCAAAGGATCAGCTGTGCGACAGAGACAGAAAGAGAAAGCGACAGAGAAGGCAAGAGAGCGCCAACAAAATGGTGGCAAAACATACAAAATAAATAATAGAAAGCAACAAAAAAAAAAAAAAACAAACACACCAACACAGAGAATATCAAACATGAGAGCAGTTCAAGGCAGGCAACAAAACAAGAAAATTAAATTTTTATTGTTTTCACACAAATAAAATCAAATAAAAAGCGAACAACAATAACGGCAACAGGACTCAAAAGCACATACAAAGAGAGCCAAGAGTGGATATAGGCATGTACACACACACACACACACGCGCGCACTCACACATATACATACATAAGGAGGCCGTCACGTGCCACATAAACGAGCAGCGACTGGGCAGGAGAAACAGACCAACCACCGTAGAGCAACCCCTAAAAATTGGGGCGCTGCTGCGACGCCCGGGCAGGAGCAGAGGCAGCAGCAGCAACAGCAGCAGCAGCAGCAACAGCAATCCCTGTTGGATGCTGTCTTTCAGTACGAATCGAACACTCGACGGTTACGCGGCGCGCACACAGCAGTGGCCATACATATAGAGACACTAGTCTATTGCAAGTAGTTGAGACGGCACGTGATGTCGACGGCGTTTCTCGTCGACAGCCTACTGCATGCACAGCGCGCCCAGAGCTACAGTGAGAGCCAGCTAAAGTCGAGCCTCAGCGAGATGCTGCTGAGCCGCGGCCCGAACGAGCCGGCGCCGGAGGAGCGCAACTCCGCCGAGCTGCTGTGCAAGACGTGCAACTGTGGCAAGCGCGGCTACAAATGTGATAAGTGCCGTGAGAATCGTGCAGAGAGTGTGGACAGCATCGAGGAAATGGACATGGATGAGGATGAAGACGACGAGGATGAGGACGAAATTGTTGCGGACATCGATAGCGTCGAGGCGCCCCATCTGGACGAAGAGGAGCTGGACGACGAGCTGGAGCGAGAGGCAATCAAATTGCCCAAAGTGGAGCCCAAGGAGACCTCCAACAGCACCAGCAGCGGCGCCACCACCATCCTCAAGGATAACAACAGCAAGCCCATACTGAAGTTCAGCGTATCTGCCATCCTGGGCGACACACGCGAAGGAGTGCGCGTGAGGAACGGTAAGGCCACCATCCCGCCAGACCGGCGGGCAATAAACGCGGCTTGCCAATTAATTTGCCGTGCCTAATGCCAAACAATAACAGAAATTCAAATACAATTGCGATATGAAAAGCCCAAAGAATAACAACTTTGTGAGCCAAACAAAAGGAGGAGGAACCTCCCATCGAAGGGTTTTTATCATCTATTTTTTATGCAGTTAGTTTATTGTGCACCTTAAGCCCTTGAGGCGGCGCTGCTCTGCTCTGCTCTGCGCTGCTCGGCTTTGCACGGCTGTAAAAACACAACCAGGCCTAATCATGTTTAAATTATTGTATCTGAGCCGTCGCTAAGTCCATCCGTTGCCGCCACCAGAACCAAATGCGCATAAACCAGTTCCGAGCTCCGAGTTCCGTGTTCAGATTTCCGATTCCCGATTTCCGAGTTCCTTTTGCGGCTGCGCGTGCTGCTCAGCTGTGCGAGGGTTCGACCTGGGTTGCTCTTTGTATCGCTCTGGCTGCCTCAAACAAAAAGTAGGCGTGTCTAATTGTGTATCAGTCACTGTAACTGCGTCACATTTCATCCAGTTTCTTTTTTATTAGCACTGAGCTGGCAAATTCTTTGGCTGCGACTGAACCGTTTAGGCTTGTGGGATTTAATGTGTCTTCCATTATTAATGAGTGGGCTGATTCCTTTCTGTTTTATTGTTTTTTATCACCTTTTTTATGCGATTTCTATTGAGTAACGATTTTCTGCACGATTTTTGCGTTGATTTTATGGCAAAAGCGTGGCTAAGGTTGCCAAATTATGTATGTTTGTGGTAATAACCAGAGATTGTTATAAAGGATGGGAAAGTACTGCGATTAGTATTATAAATGGTTTTTGATTACTGATAATGATCTTTATAGCTTAGCACTGATTTAAGAAATGTTTAGTTTAGCAAAATAGAATAAGCTAGTTTGAGAAAGAATATTTTGGTATTTTGGGTTGGTGAGTCATAATCAAGATCATTATGTTTTCATGGTATATATGTATACAAATACCGTGATGAATATAATATCAATATTTATTACATTGCATATTTGATGAAATGAAAATATTCTTTGACAGGAATTCATTGACATCTTAAGTAGGTCCTCAATATCAACGTCTCTTCGTATTCAGTTGAATTCTCCTTGCGTTGCTGTTTCAACTGTTCATATTACAATTTACTTCTATATTCTTTTTGTACACACATTTTTTATTCAAGAATTTAAATGAATAATAGAGCTTTACAAATATATAATATTCTGATTTCCCATTTTCATTGAGGGATCTAATAAAAGTATGCTAGAGCTCCTTTAAAGCCAAAATCTATTCGCTTATATACTTTAATATAATTAATTGAATAAATAATTTATTTAATATAATGAATTAAATTTGGCTTCTCAATAGGCTTATCATAAAAACTATATATAAATATTCTGCATTGATCAAAATTTAAATAACATTTGCTTTACTTGGATTATATATGAGCAGCGCTCTACCCTTAGCCTTTACTTTTCCCTTACACCTTAACACTTCAGCTCACTTTTGTATAAATCTGCTACATTTTATTTTCCTTCTTTAAAAGCTATAAATATTGCTAACTATTGATGCATGAAAATGTTCAGCTTATTATCCAAGAGTTTTTTAGATCCTCATCAGTCAAAAGAAATGCTATCGCATGGCAATTATATTTGGCATCGCCACAAATTAACTTTTTCCGCGTAATAAACCAATTGGCCAAAACTTTTTGGTGGCGACAATTTTTGGCATTTGCCGCGACTACAGAGGCAAAAAGCGCTAGGAAAACCCGCTGAAGAGCCCAAACAAACAATGCGAACAATTATAACTTAATTTGTGCGCTCATTAGGCACACATGTGGCCAACGCACACACACAGATAAATACAAACAAATGGCGCACACCAAAAACTTTAGCCACAACTATAGCATATAAAACAAACAGACACACACACACACACACACACACACAAAGCAAACTAAAGAGGCGTTAATACGTTAATTGTTTCAGTCGCTCTAATCGAATTAAAATCATATCCTGCAGCGCCAAGCACTGTGTGTGTGTGTGTGCGTGTCTGTGTGTGTATTTGTGAGTGGCGTCTGCTGCTTAATTTAATTAGAAATTGAAATGCGGCCACAAAGCGCCAAAATCTTTCCCCAGGCCCCACCGAGCCAACAGCTCCAGCATCAAACGCGCAAAACTTTTGTTTGCCTTCCACATGAACTCTAATCGCACAATGGAGGCGTTGGCGGTGTCTGCACTCAAGGTGTGTGTCTGCTGAGTGTGTGCGTGTGTTTAAAGTTTTTGAATGTGTTGTCAGCTGTGTGAGTGTGAGAGGTTGTGTGTGTGTGTGTGTGTGTGTGTGGATGGGGGAGATCCAACGAAATTGGATGCTGCGAGCTGCGAGCTGTTTAATTATGCCAGTTTGACACTTCAAAGCAGCATCTGCTGTGCAGTCAGAGCCAAGACATTCACACACACACACAGGCACACACATGCGAAAGGGTTGATTTCTTGACAAGATATTTGGGGGCTGATAATATGGGCGTGTGTATGTGTTTTATAAGATTGTGGGTGCTTGCTTCTGGAAGTGCGCGTTGATAGGCTTAAGAGCAGACACTTTGAAGTGCCATTCATTTTATCAGATCTTGGGGAATGAATGATGGGAGCTATGGGGAAACATATTGATATTGTTTAAATGTATATATATATACTTATATTGATATGGTTATTATTGTGCAGGACTTTTAATACTAGCTTAAAATATGATAATTACTACTCTCTATTTTGTGAAAGATGTTATTTATGATTGTATTGCTTTCTAGTTAGTATTTTCTATCCGATGTACGATGAATCTCCTAACATATTTCCAGGCAAAAGCTTTTAAGAACAGAAATTCTTTGTGGATACTTTATAGAACTTTATAATTAAATGTTTTCAAAATGTCGTTTATTTGGTTAAAAAGAAACGAAACTTCTTCAAGATCATATAAACAAAAATTTAAAAACAAAGTAATAAGATAGTCAAACATAAGATGGCAGTTCTAACATTAAAGACAATCTTCTATTCCTATTCTATTCCTAAACAGTTCAAGTTTTGAGAAATATTTGACCTAATTAAGTTAATCTTAAGGCTCACAATTTGAAAGAGTAATCAAGTTTATTTCAAAGCCAAAAAGCTTAACAAACCTATGTATATGCTTCCTATATGTACATACCATTCAGCATCTAGTTCATATCACTATTCCCTTATATATTGCTCAAATGGAAAATCTATAAATTTAATTAACACATACAATTCAATTTATTTAAACACCTGTCTCTCTCTCTCTCTCTCTCCCTCTCTTTACAGAGTTCATGCAACCACAGCATATATGGCCTTATCTACAACAGAACTTTATGCAACATCACACACATCAGTATCAGCAGCACCATCATCACGCACAACAACACCAGCAGCAGCAGCACCAACAGCAACACCAGCAGCAACAGCAACAGTCGCTGGCGCCACATCACCATCAGCAACACCATCAGGCATTGGTGGGGCAGGCGCCATTGGGCCTGTCGCACCCACTGCATCATCATGCCCATGCACACTTTCCGCATCCCGCATTTCTAACGCATCAGCATCAACAGCATCAGCATCAGCATCAGCAGCAGCAGCAGCAGCACAACCACGGCAATAGTTGTCAACCGCAAACCACAGCAACGACGGCAGCATCCTCGTCGTCACCTGGCAGCACAATTAGTGATAGCGACAACAATCACAGTAGCAGCAACAGCAATTCCAACAACAACAACAACAGCAGCAACAACAACAACAGCAGCAGCAGCAACAATGCTGCCCTCGATGGTCGACCGCATGAAATCGACGAGGACAACAACAATCGAAGATTAACGCAAGAAAAGCTACAACAGCAACAACAGTTGACTGGACAGGCGGCAGGAGGCGGCGGCGGCGTCGGGGCAGGGGCCGGAGCACATCCGACACCCCCGCCACCAGCCATGCATCCGGTGATTGCGAAGCCCATGCCCAGTCGGCCAACTCCCTTTCTGCCCCACACCCTGAACCATCCGCATTTGCATTCGCTGCTGGCGCACTGTCGCAATCCCTACATGAGTGGTAAGTGCGATTGGCGGCAGTGGTGGCGGTGGTGCCACAATCTAATGCCTCGTAATTGCTCTGCCTAACAACAATTGGACACCCCATGGCGCTCATTAACAAGTGCCCACTGACCAAGCCCCCTCCCCACACACACACACACAAAATTGTCTAATGCATTTCCCCAATATGTTTAATTGCAGTTGGTGCCCAAGTGTTTCCCCTGCCGCCGGGCCAGGGCTTCCCCTGGGCGCATTCGACACGTGGCAAGCCTCGCCGTGGCATGATGCGGCGTGCCGTCTTCTCAGGTTCGTAGTGGGAGCTCTCCCTCCCCGCTCTGTTCTCCTCTGCTCCGTTCTGTTTGCCTTGTGGTTTTGCGGCGCTAACTGTTGCTCTTTTCCCATGCAGACTCGCAGCGCAAGGGCCTGGAGAAACGCTTTCAACAGCAGAAATATATCAGCAAGCCAGATCGCAAGAAACTGGCCGAGAGACTGGGCCTAAAGGACTCTCAGGTGAGTTGCTGCTTTCTATATTAGAAATGTCGACAGGTTATTCGAAAAGCTCAGTCTAATATATGGCTATAAAAATGTTGCTGGTTCTAGAATTCTTCTTTGACTATCTGGCTCATATAGGTTTCTTCATTTCAATTAAATTTGATGCAACAGTTCTTTAATTGAAGTGAAATATGAATGATCTATTTCTTTTGTATTATTTATATCTTCCTGAAAGTCTCACTCGCTTCAATCTATTCTATTTCACAGCTATTGAAATTAGAATATTTCTCTGATCTAACTTTCAAAAGTTCTGCCAACATGCAGAAGGTTTTTCACTTTACTTACTTACTTTTCCCCTTTTACAAATTACAATTTAACAGATTAACCATCTATTATAAATACTTATTTCCCGTATCCCCTTTTTCCATTGAAAGATTCTACCTACTTTCTCAACTTTCTTAAGCTATCGGTGCACTTAAAGAAAAGCGGTTCTGCTACTATAAAATTTGATGCTCTGCCAATTTACCATAAACAAATCCCGAAAATGGAAATCAATAAACTGCTCGCAGACGAGCTCATAATAAACGTAATATTATGCCATTATGAAAATGATTTTTAACCACGCATAAACAATTTACCCCCAAAAACTTTTCAAATCAGCTTTTACAACAACAACAGCAACAACAACAGTAATAATAATATGTAAAGCAAAGACACATAAAATAACAGCCATAAAGCAGGGCTAAATAAAACTCCGCCCTCAAAAACTGCGAAAAGCTCTCAGCAATGGCTGCGCAGCGCAAAATGGAAGCCAAGCCAACGTATAACAGGTCGTCGCCGTCGCCGTCGCCGTCGTCGTCGTCGTTCGAGGGGGGTTAGTTGCCCAGGGGCGGGGGCGTGCTTCCTTTAAATGCGCAGTCGCTCATCTTAGCCGTGTATATGTATGTGTGTGTATATATATATAGAGAGAGCGAGAGGTCGCCTGCTATCGAAATACATATAATGAAATTATAACGAGCCATAAGAAATTCATTTCAGCTAGCCAGGCCAAGGGGTGGGGGTTGGCATGGGGGGCTGTCTTTTATTGATTGCGCCAACGCGGCATAATTAAATTAAATTTTTTGTTTGTTCCCTTATAGCGAAAAGAAAAATTGTTGAAAGTGCAAGGCATGAAAAGTAAGAGCAGGAATAAGTTAATAAGGATAAGGATAATAAGTCGATTCAGATTGACTTTGGGATTTCTTTTTGTTTACTATTCCTTATAATAATAGTTATTGTGCATTGTGTTAATTATATTATATATATAAAAGTTAACTTTCAGATTGGAAGCAAAAGACTGAAGAGAAAGGTATTTTTACTTCCAAGAGAATTTATAACCAATAAATTGAAGCTTACTATTACTGACAATATAATAATTATTAAGTATGAATGTAGATATGACATTATATATAGAATAAAATAGGGTATATAATCAACTCTTTGGCCACATCAAGGATAGAACATGACCCTGAATCCCTTTAATTCAGTTGCTTAGGAGATTGGCTGATTATATACAAATATATACATACATACACATACGTATGTGCATGCTATGCCACATTGATTCCGAAATGATTTCATGCGTAACGCTTGCATCTTTCTGAACAATTTAAAAAACGTATGAGAGAAAATACAATTGGGACACATTTTCGCCAGTGAATTTTTCACATGGCTGCTGCTACTACTCCTGCAGTTACCGCTGCTCCTGCTGCTGCCGTTCGCTGCTGCTGCTGCTGCTACTGCAAAATTTGGCATGTCCAATTTGGCCTTGTCAAAATGTAATCGATCACAACTCAATCAATGGGCCAACTGTGAGTTGTCATCGGACGGTGGTGCATGTATAGGAGCAGGAGGAGGGGGTAAATGAGCAGCAGACGTTGCGCTGCCATTGATGATGTTGCTGATGATGATGCTGACAATCTCACGCCAAATTAGTGCAGCTCTTTTTTTTGGTTGCCGAACTGCATATGATTCATAAAAATTTCATAATTACGCAATAAGCGTGTCCAGTTGCATTTGTCAGCGAGAGCGGGGCATGAATTCATCATCAGCATGCATGGTTACGCCCCTTTCTTACAGGCCACTGCATGCGGCCGATCGATCATCAAATAAACACAGATACAGTCTAATGATCGTATAATACCAGCCAGATGACGTCAGCATGCAAAGGTGTCCACATTAGCATGGGCCGCGCTGTTGCCCCTGCCCCCAGCTCTGCTTTGTAAGGTTAATTAGATAGTTGACGTATTAAATTATCTAACTAGTGTAAGTCGAACTGCGTTTGTTTAATAAACAGGTATTTATTACGGCATATTGGAAATAGAAATGTGCATTTTAATATCTCAAATCAAAACAAAACCAGCCTTTGAGGTGGAATTGATTACTGAAAAAGTTGTTGATCTAGGCTATGGTTAGCCTCTGTTTGTTTTAATTAAGTATATGCTAGAAGCTTCGTAGTATATCTAATTTTTTTTTTTTTCAGAAATATAAGTGTTATAGAAAACGCAACTAGAATGTAACATGCCCGAAAGACCAGAAATTCGATATAGAAAATTATTTATCTTTATGAGAATCTGATCAAAATATAGAATAAATTCATCTTGGCTCGATGTGACAAGCGATAAAATATCGAATCGCGAATTGCTGGTCAAGTCAAGACAATAGACTTTCTAAAAGTCGTTAGTCATTAGCTTTCCTTGGGCAGATTAATTTTCCCATTGGTTTCGTGTAAAACAAAAAGTTTAGAGCTATATACTCTATATACCCAAACAAGTTTTTGTTGTAATAAATGGTTAAATGATCGGAGCCGTAGCTTGTAATGGAATATAATATCATAGATTATATCAATGTGATTGATTCTAGATATACTGCCTAAAAGTGAAGCTCGTAAACTATGTAAAATATCAATATTTTATTTTATGGCTTTTAGTTTTCTAAAGAATAGCTAGATTTTCCCAGCGCAACCATAGTTGATCTTAAAGTCAAGGACTAAGACTAAAGTCAACTCCTGAATTTAGCTAAGCTACAGTTATTTCGCTCAAAGAAAATATTGTGAATTTTCATTTAGGCAACGTCAAAGATTTGCTTTTCTCTAAATTTTCTATTGTGGTCTTTGGTGTGTGTAGAACGCTCGGACTTACAATTATTTTATGATTATTGGCCAGAGCTCAGCCATTAATCTTTGAAGTACAAAAATGTTCAAAGCAGCAGTTTTTTATTTTTTCAGTTACTTTTTTTTTGTAGTGATGAAATCAAAGCATTCATCAATTGCACTTTGTCAAATGGGAAAATGAAAATGTCGACGGGATGGCGTCAAAAACAAAGCCGAAAGAGCCAAAGCAGAGACGTTTAAAAAATGTGCAAAAATGTCAGAAAAACTCTCAGTCAAATCGCAGCAGTTGGTCCAGTCCAGGGTCCGAGGTTTCTGCTCCATCTCTCCCACTCTCTCTCTCTCTCTCTCTCTCTCTCTCTCTCTCTGGGCGACTGGACAAAGGACAAAGTGTTGTCCAGCCGGCGGCGATGGCGACACCGGCTCCATTAACAGCCAAGCGGGGGTCGCAGCGCAGCGCTTGTGGTCGAGTGTGTGTATAGGTGTGGGCTGTGGGTGATGAACGAGTGCGGATATTCACACTCAAGTGACACTCGGAGAATGAGAAGTGGTGTGGCTATGTGTGTGTATGTGTGTGTGTGTGGGTATTGCATTGCAGCGCGTGTCCTGGCGCCTAGTTGTATGCAATATGATTTAAGAGCTTCGCAATGTCCTTTGTCGTGCTGCACTTTTTGTTGTTCAATTGGCGCTGCCATTGCTGTTCATTTGCTGCACGCTGCCCTCCGTGCCACACCATCGGCCATAAATATATGGCCAGTGCAGCAGTGAGCCTAGCTGCAGCCCGCGTGCCTTGCGGTTGACAAACGGTTGCATTGATGCCAACCGCGCAGGTGATTCATCATTTCGAGTGTTGTTCATTGCAACGTTTATTGCGATTTTAACAAACGCACTTGAAAATCGTTTGTACAAAAAATGAAGGAGAAGAAAACGCGTGCGCGTTTATTAACGCGCGCAGCTAACCACGCGATTTATGTGCGTTTGATGATTCCTGTACTCCTGCATGCAGCTCACGTGCAACGCTTTGATTATGTTTATATTGAGCTCGTGGGGAATGGAGTGGGTGTGTATGCCATGGTGTAAGAGCTCGCTCCCTTCATCATTCAGCATTCAGCATTCGACTGCTGCCTGGCAGTGACAGTTACCAGCCTCATAATCCGCCAGCTATAAATTTAATTGCCATTAATGACACTTCAAACCACCAAGAGCCGGCAACAACAACAGCCACACCATGCCAAACACAGTAAGCGGAAATGTAAACATCTTGAGGCCAAGAATTTCTATAAACTGATTTGCATTTTTAAATCAATGCACAAAGCAAAGCTCAAGGATTCGCGCTGATATCAGAGGAACGCGCTAAACGAGTTGGCCCTTTAGCAACCCCCGCACAATACACACACACGCACATAGACGCATACACACACACACACACACACACGTGTCAGCCGGCAGCAACTTTTTAAGTGTCATGTCCAAAACAAATTCGTCTGTTTTTGATTTGTCGAAAAAATGGGGGAACGCCCGCCAAATGGAAGCAGCTAAAGCCAAAGCCAAAGCCAAACCAAAGCCGAAGCGAAAAAAATAAATAAAACAGATTTACAGACAGCGACGCAAGGCTCGCAATCAACTGTGAAAACTCTGCGTGCTTCAGCATTTGGTACTCTTTGGCATTTTCACGTTATAAATATTTTTATCTTTATTTCGGTTGTCTGCGCCGACGAGGGTGTGCGTGTGTGTGTGAGGTTTGGCAGACAGTTCCTTTCCTCTTTTTTTCATTTGAATTTTCATTTGTTTGTCATTTTGCTTTTGCTGCTTTTTATTATTTACTCAAACCGCGAACGCTTTAAATCAATTTGTATTATATAAATAATCTGTGCATACACGAGGGTTAATGCCATAAAGAATGTATATATGTGTATGTGTATTTAGTGCATATGTGTATAATAAAAGAGCCAAGCCTTGCTCTTTTTTGTCAACCTAACTTGTTTTTTTAAGAGCCTTGCTGGCTTCTTAATGGCTTTGTCTTGATCAGAGACAGATTTACAAAAGTTCTGCAGATGCATTAAGATATATACTTTAAGCTATATCTAACTTAAGCATGGCTTAAATATTTTATTAAAGAGCAAGTCGCTTGAAGCATTTAGCCACATTTACGACTATCAAAAAGCAGTTGAATCCTACTCAAATGTGTTTGTAACTCGAATTCCATTTCCCTTGACTGGCAAAAACGATTGAGAAACATTAAAAACCATCATTTGCAGCTTTGGTTACAAAATAAATTTATGACAAATTGCTAAATAAATGCCAGAGGGACAAAGTGGAGAAGGGGGCGAGCGAGGGCCCTAAAACAATAACCACAGTCAGGCAGAGTGGACTGCGCTGGAGTGTGGGCCATGGTAACCCAAAACGTAGACGAAATGACTTGAAATGACTTTGGCAAATAGTAGCAGACTATTTAATACGCTATTACGCAGCGTATCGAATGACAGCCCGAGTCGAGTCGAGTCGAGCCGAGCYGAGCCTTGACAAAGCAACCCCACAGCTAGCAACGGCCTCATTAGTTAACATATGTTGCCGCACCCACACCCAATATCTGTCCCTGTCCCTGTCCCAATCTCAGACTCCGACCCCGTCTCCGTCTCCGTCACCGTCTCAGACTCAGACTCCCAGCCAAGTCAGCCACACAAACAACAGCTTGTGCTCATTGCCAAAGTCAATTTTCGGCAAAAAGGGCGGCCAAAACAATTTGTAGCTAAACGGACTGAGCGTAACAGCTCTTCCCCCTCAGCCGCCCTTCTGCCAACTTGCCTTCGCCTCTTTCCACACGCTCGCCGCGCTGCCTGCTTTATAAAAACTTCAAACAAATGCTAGGCGGGCTGCGTGTCAGAAAAATCTGTTACTCACTTACCAATTGGGGCTGAAACTGTTACAGGATAATGTGTCGACTGCTTACTGCCGGCGTGGAGTAGTGATAGGGGATGGCACGAGATCAGATGAGAGTCATTTAAACGCTTGATTGGAGTGCATACAGTAGCTAATAGCTGAAGGTCTTTAGAGCTGTCTGCAGCACTGCTGATAGAGCTGGGCAGATAGGCAGGCGAATAGCTCTTGATGTTAGTAACTGTCAGTGACTGAAGTTCTAGAAGAGAGATGAATGATAGGGGAGAATTATGCATGAATATTGCATTATAATATATTATAT